TTACAATATGAATGTGGGTGGTGCTTATTATAGTAACTGCCATTTTATGTAGAGGTTGTATTTAGTACTGGCCAATAGTGCTTTTCTATAAGTGTTAGAAAAGCTGCTTCTGGAAAAACTGCATGGGATGTTGTGACTTTTATTATTCTTATATAGTAGCTTAAGTCATGCTGCATCATATATCGGTTTATATTAGTCATTATATTGAAAAATCAACTCAAAATAGATATATTTTGTATGAAACCATTGTAATGTTTACTGATAAACTGCCAAATTTCGTTAACATTCACTTACTAATTTAAAAGTTATAACATGAAAACTATAACAAGCACAAAATGGTTATGAGGTCGTCACACTGACTGACCCCATATTGAAAGAGTTAAACCTTTCTACTAAACCATTAGCAGCTGGGTGATAAGCTTTTGTTTCAATTTTCTTTACACCTAATAACTCACAAACTTCTTTCATTAACTTAGATGTAAAATTACTACCTCTGTCTGTCAGTAAATACTGTGGTACACCATGTCTAGCTACTATGTTATTCGCAAAAGCCTTGGAAATTGTTTCTACTTTCTGATCAGGTAACCGTATTGCTTCTTGAAATCTAGTTAAGTAGTCTGCAACTAATTGTTCCCTGTGTAGGATTGAAGTAATGGGCCTAATATGTCCATAGCCACTAGCTGAAAAGATGTAGTTAGATTTGGCATTTTTTGTTAGAGAGCATTCTTAAAGTGTGGACTCATTTTTTGTTTTTGACCTTCTAGGCATAAGTCATAATAATCCTTAATATATTTCCTCATGTTTAACCAAAAGAATCTTTTACTTATCCTACTGTATGTTGTAGCAAAAGCTAGATGTGCTGCAAATGGCATATCATGATAGGTTTTCATAACATTAGTATTTAAGTTATGTGGTACAACTATTTGTAATGACCTGTTACCCTATATTTTCTTGTAATACTTTATTTCATAATGCATTTAGTAACTTATCTCTCTTTTGGTCACTGATCACATGACCTTAATCTCAAATTACATCTAACTCATCTTCATTTCTAGCTTTTTCCTCCATTACTTTATTAATTGTCTGTTTTTCATTAGTTTCTGTATTTCCTACTCTTATTCTACTCAGACGATTGACATTAGAGCTTTCTACCTGGTATATGTACTATCTCAAAATCATAATCCTGTAACAATAATGATCATCTTGCAAACCTACAGGAGGGATCTTTTAATGTCATTAACAATTTTAATGGTGCATGGCCTGTAATAATAGTGAACTTCTTACCATACAGATAACAATGGAAAGTTTTGAATCCTTGCACTACAGCTTAGCATTCCTGTTCTGTAACTGAATAATTTAGCTCAGCTTCTCCTAACTGTACTCTGATAAGCTATAGGATGTTCCTTTCCATTTTCATCTAATTGTGATAGTACTGCATGTATAGCAAAACCTGAAGCATCTGTGCTTAATCCAATACCTGTCGTGGCCATTTTGTCTTATTGTGAGGGCAAAATAATTTGTGAATTGAAATAATGATAGAGAACTTATCTTTTATTGGATTTCAGATTTTATTTTTGTAAATAGTAGCATAACATTCAATTATTTGTACAAAATTGTATTCTTTAATGAAGTTTAAAGAGGAATTATTAAAAAAATTCTTAAAATACGTTTTAGATTGTAAATAAGCGCCCTCTAAAAATATTTTTTTTTTCAAAATCTTTTTTAAGATATTTCCTTTCACTTCAGCACTGGTCCTGCCATCTAGGATTGGTATCTAAACCTTTTTCTAGTCTGTTTTCTTTATAAAACTGCGTCTGGGCGTGTTAAACCTCAGTTGTAAAACTTTTAGCCAATCCTAGTCGAAGGTGTCAATTTCAGTACCAATTATTCCAATTGCAGTATCTCCCATTTGACAAATCGTAGGATGATAAGGAAAGCACGTGATGAAACGTTGTTCTCTGGATTTTACAATATGAATGTGGGTGGTGCTTATTATAGTAACTGCCATTTTATGTAGAGGTTGTATTTAGTACTGGCCAATAGTGCTCTCCCATAAGCATTAGAAAAGTTGCTTCTCGAAAAACTGCATGGGATGTACGTGACTTTTATTTCTTTTATATAGTAGCATAAGTCATGTTGCATCGTATATCTGTTTATATTAATCATTATATTGAAAAATTAACTCAAAAGAGATATATTTTTTAGGAAAGAAATTGATCCACGATTGTTAGGGTAAAGAGCTATTGAGTGGCGAGTGCAAAGTCTTTACATGAATTAGACTTAGGACTTTGAACTGAAAGAGTTTGTGATTTTTTATATTCCTTTGCATTTAAATTTGTAGTTTTAAGCTCAATAATTTAGCATAATTTTATATTTAGTTCATAATAATAATATGATTCAGTATTTAGAATGAAAAACTTGTGTGATTTGTACGTAATACTACTAGTACCAGTACCACTAAAGAATTTTATATTTTTCCTTCTTACAATCTTTGCTTTGTAGTAAGACCCACACTTCTGTTGTTATTGCGTTAGAATTAAAACAGTCTAACTGATATATATAGTTTATTCTGATATTTTGCAAATGGTTCAAACTCGGTGTACAAGTGACAACAATAAAACCCATATGTTGGTTGTGAAACAGGCTAAATACATTCATCTCAATAATACAGGGAAGCTATGACATTCTCACAGTTGAGGTCTAAATACATTGAAGAGCTTAACTTTCACATTCCAACATAAATCTTGCCTATAATGAGAGGAATGTAACCAGGACTAATCTTTTAAGTGCTGTAGAGTAATTTTCTTTGTAATTTATGGTGTCTGTATGGTTTGGTAATCTCTTCTGACAGGATGTATCAAGTAACAAGGGGTCAGGCTCAGGCGGTGTTTATTGAAACCACCTGCACTATAAACTGTTACATACATTCGTTAGTAGTGGCAATTAGTTTTGTCTCTATTCTGAAACAACATACATGGACATATATTGAAATAAACTTGTTTGAAAGTTCAAAGAAATGATATTCAAGTACCGAAAATCTTTCTTACTATCATATCTACAGTAACATTCAAATGCGCCCGCGCTCGGTTGAACTGAATGAGAGTGACCACCAACAGGGGTGTGATAGTTTACGGAAAATGTACAAAGTTCACGCTGCTGACCCCACGGTTTATTCGGCACAATAAACAAAAGTACAACTGCAATGAAACATAAATTTGAAATAAAAATATATTTATGAAACAAAATTAAAATGTTTTTATGTACATATATAAACATGAAATCCTAGTTAAAAATAAAAATACTCATTTATTGTTTAGGTTTATTTACAAATATTATTTTTGGGTCTGTATATTACTTGAAACCATAAGAAGAGTACATGATTATTAAAAAAATTAAAAATAGATGAAATTTGCATTTTATGGAGGATACAATTTTTGGGGGATTTCAAAATAATGTACTAAAACATAAAAAGTAATAAGTTCAAATCTGGAACAAATATAAATATTGTAATTATTTCTTATAAATACCATTTCCTAATGTAATTTTCCAAGATATTAAAGATCATAATGCAAAAAAACTAAATTTATCAAAAGTAATAGGTTTTATGTTTCTTAAACTACATACATTTATGAAAGTTTTTATGAAGTTTCAGTCATATTCATCCACTAGTTTTATTGTTGGAATGAAATATAGCAAGACTTGCATTACCTACTAAGAAAGTTAGTAGCCGGTAATCATTGGGTTAAACTGATTAAAGAAAAATAAATTTACAGTCAAATTTTTATTTTTAACCAAAATTTTGTAACAGAATCTTATCTTAAATGTTAAATTAATTTGATTTAATCAAACATTACAAAGTTTTTCAGTACATTTTTTGTCAAAATGTTTAATCTTAAATACTGTTAAATGTTTGTGCATTATTTAATTTCCATTTTTACTTAATTTGGATATCTAATAGTAATAATGGATAGGTTTTTTTTTCTGTTTTTTTTACAGCTGTTTAATTGCTTTCTTGTACTAGAAACAAAAAAAAATGAGTGATGTATTGGATATTTTGGACATTGAGCGACCACAGACTCCTGAACATAATGCTAAGGAAAGTATCTTTGGAAGTGAAAAAAAGGTAAAGGCAATCTTATTGTAAATGTCTATCTAACTGCACTTCTAACTATTTGATAGATTTTTTAGGCAGAGTATTCATGATGAAACTTTGTTGAACAGATGGCGACTGCCTGTTGTAGAAACACGAGTGTAGATGATAACATTTCAAAAGTCTTTGAGGTGAAAGACATTCGAAACTTGTCCTCTACACTTGTGTTTCTACAACAGGCAGTTGCCATCTGTTGAACAAAGTTTCATCATCTCTAACTCTATTGTCAAACATTTGAGATTTTGTTTTTGGAACTCCAAAAATTCTTACATTTGGTATGCTATTTATTTGTTTTATCATAAGAATTTTTTACAAAAATTTTCAAGAATACTTTTTTGAAAAATTTATTTGCATTTTCTTCAGTATTATTGTTTTGTAAAAAATGTCAAAAGAATACTAGTTAAATAAACACTTTATGAACTTGTTTTATGACAATTTATAAAAACAAGATGAAGAAGGCATGTGTTCATATTAAAAGTATATCTTTGTATATGGAAAACATCAAATTTGATAAATTTCTTTTTCATGTACATGTGAAAAAATTTCTTTTTATATTTATGTGTATTTAGTTCAGAAATTTGTTTTCAAGTCTTATGGCCTCATTTATTGTTTTGTATGATTTTGATTTTATTGTAATGAATACGCAATATTTGGCTCTATTTAGTTTATAATGCAATTTTGATTTTAATGAATGCATTAACTCTTTTGCAATGGGTGGGTCTAACTAAACATGTTATGGTCTTTTAGCTATTTATTTTTAAAATTTTAATAAGTAATTTTATTATTATTATTGTATATCAATTAAATTGATATCAAAACAGTTTATGTTTCAAATTTTAACATTATGTATGTTTTAATTTCTTAATGTAAAAGGAAATATATATAAAAGAAAGCTAAATATCGATTTGTGTGTGTCACATAGCACCTTTTCATGCCTTGTTGCTCTGTTTATATTTTTTATGTCTACAGTTGATTAACAAATTAGAATCATAAATTTTAGATACTGGCAAGCTGGAATATAAATTTAGAACCCCTCACCACTTTGATTTGCTGAGAAATCAGTGTATCTAGCAAATCAGCTAGAGTCACGCTTCCTCCTACTTGTTCTTCCCAAACCTCTTATTTTGTTCCACCTACTCTTAAGGGTGTTTTTATAACCAATAGAAAGGATAAGTTGTACTTCACGTGATTCTGACAGTTGTTTGTAAAGAGTTTGAAAGAGAAAATAATAATATCATCAAGAATGTTGAATGGTGATGACCAAGTTGTTGCTCTTAACGGATATTAATTCTTTTTTATCACATACATATTTTATTTATAAATCTAAGCAAGTTACAGATGTTTTGAGTGTACTATTAGAGTAATTCAATATTTTTTTTTTCTGAAATGTATATTTGAAGCATATAAAAATTATATTCCTTCCCCCTCTACTCGAAAAAATAACGAGGCTTAGCAATAAAGGCACACGAGGGCAAATATATTCCTATCACTGTAACTTCGCATAAGTACTAGAAATCATTGTTTTCTTTGTAATTTTCATCTGTTATTCTATGTTTTAAGAAAAATAACCAAAATTTAAGCACTTATCACTAAATATATATGTAATGTATGATAGCCAAAATATCACTATCAATGTAGTTTTCAAAATATTGGTATTATATTTAGATTTGTACTTTGTTGGGTTATGTAGTTAGACCTACTGAGCTTGTGTTTTCTAACTGCCTAAATTGAGGCAAAGTAAAAGCAAATGATGCAACATTAGAAACCTTGCAACTTATATTTATTCATAACATTTAAAAATGTACAGTAGAAGAAAGTAATGAAAAGTTATACAAATATATGCAAATATTTACTCACAATGTACATTCAGAAACTGAAACAAATGTACAGTTATACATTGTTGCTCACATTCTTGAACAGATTGTATACAAATGTTTAAGAATGAAGAACTTTCAGAAAATATACATGAAGCTCTACACAGAAAAAAAATGAAAGGGAGTATCATACACACAAATGTATGAATAACAAAAGAAAAACATATTTCAGACAAAAGATTCAGCTAAGATGCTACTGTCTAAGATATTTGTTAGTTTTTAGAGAAGAAGAAAACTATTTGTTAGAGGAAAAGAAAGAACTGTATTTGTAAAAGGAAAAGAGTAGACATTTTTACCTGGTACATAAGCAACATTTTAGTGAAACTGTCATAAACAGATTTATTTTTATTTTATGTTATAATATGCAAAATAAATCAGTTATGATAATTCAGCAGTTTTGGTTATGTACTAAGTAAAAGCTTAACTTCTTTGCAGAGTATCACAGGTATGATACTCTGCAAAGTGTTTCATGCAAAGATACACATCACAGAATGTAAACTTTGTGTATTCTGTTGTCTGTAAGGCACAGTGTGCATCTTTTCTTTTTACCTTTTTTGACAAGTATTGGGTTATGCCTTGCCAGGAGTGAATCTCAGAGGAGAGTCATGTGCCAATGTTGTATGTGGAATATCAGAAGGGCCAGTTCTGCTCTGAAGTAGAGAGAGGCTTTACAAGAGAAGTGACCAACTCCATTCTGAAGAACTTCTGTTATAATTCAGGCTGATTGGTCTTTGTCTTGTAGAGAAAAACGCATTTACTATGGTGAAATCCATAGGCCAGAAGAACAGTTATTGATATTCGTCCAGTTGAATATTAGCTGTACTTGGAACGGGTTCCACTTAGATGGCTATAACCATTTGCAGACATCTTGCTATCAAATCTGCACTGTAATGCATGTTTATTCATACAAAGTTTCCATGGCTATAAACACTCACCCTTGAGATGGGGAGTTTCACAAGATCACTAGTGTGTAAATTCCTCGTGATAATTGCATCATAATATGCCCACACCAGACCGTACCACCAATGGATGGCATGAGTAAAGCAGAAGGAGATTGCTGCCCATCCCTGCTATAACTAGATTGAATAAATCAGTGTGATCTACTTTTCAAAATAGGGTTTTGTGATCACCCATTTTACTGTCTCAGGTGTTGCTGTTCCTCCAGACTGTCCACTGCACTCCCCCCTCTTCCAGTGGAATACGGGAGTCCTTACCAATTACAATTTTCAAGCCTCGGGGTGGTTGACCATGGAGGCAACCTGCTGGATGGGTTCCACAAAGATGGCTATAACCACTCAGTTGGGAGTATGGAAGTGGTGTTTTGCTATGTAGAGGGAGTTACAAGATCCTCAAAAATGAGATGCCCAAATGTAATTCATCCCTCTGATCAGGTGCCCTCCTCTTATCCTTGTGTGAATGTCTGTACCCAGCAAATGAGGTTTTGGAGATCGTGTGAACCAATCACATAAGTCCTCACACAGGTTTCTTCCCCTCTCAACTTGTCTTCGGTGTTGTGGGTTACAGAAGGTCTGTGTGTCTGTTTCCACTTCTGTCCTGTTTTTCCTCATTTGGTGATGAGGTTGTTACTGACCTGGAGTTGTTTTGGTTTCTTCCCTTGGTTTCTAGATGACACATTCCCAGATCCCTGGCATTAGGCTACCCTGTGAGTTTCTGGAGTAGAATGTTAGGTTCACTCTTAATTCTGGGACTTGAGGTGAAGATGGTATTATCCTCATCCTACCCTAGCAAAGATGTCTGTAACCAGCAAGTGAGGTTTTGGATGTAGACTTACCAAGTATGCTCCCTCATGTCCTAGCCACTCTACACCATGAGACACATCCTCACTTGCCCACTTCCATCATGAAATTGAGTAATTCTGATTTCTAATTAAGATCACATTGCTTAACTATTCTCTCCCATGCAGATGTGCTCTCTTTAATGTTCCACCAAGTATGGTCCTCCTGACCATATTGATGTTGATGAGATATCTGGCTCATATGTTCATCTGATATGTTCCTCTCATTTTGGGGGTGTCCTGTGGATGCTTCCGGGAGGATATGCTTGTATTTCTCTCGCACCAGTCCCTCCTCCATTTCAGTGTGGGATTCAAGATAATCTTGTGAGTGGAGGGAGAGTACCTTATTGGAAGTTAAAATTTTCCTAAATGAAAATGTATTTCCAAGAAGTACTTCCCTCTGCTAACACTTCCCACAATCTTCCAGTGTCTGCATCTTCTGTTAAACTTCGAGGTGATAGTTTGGTAGTGGTGCGTAGATGGAGTAACATGCATCACATGATAGTAGTGCTCTCCTATTGGTGGAGAGGTGATGCATCATGATTTGCATGAGAGACGTGCTGTAACTGTGGATCCCAACAGAGGGAAGATGAAAGCATGTGGCGTGCGTTTCTGAAGAAGTTTGCATAGAGGGCAGCACAAAACTAAAAAAGCTAATCTTGCGAGTGGAGTGAAGTACCTATTGGAAATACATTTTCATTTAAGAAAATGATAACTTCTGATATTCAAGAACAACCTGTTAAGTGCCATTTCTAAAAGCTGAATGAATTGTGGAATGTTTCTTTCTGATATAACTACATGATCAGAGCTTCTTGCTGATCAAGGCATATGGTAGTATGTTGTGCAGTCAAAATAACCTGCAGGACACAGTGTGTGTTATTAATAGGTGTGATAGTTAGCAATTTTCCATTTTCTGTAGCTTGGACAGTGTTAATCCAGACTATCACATATATTTTCAGTGGGTGTGCTCTACTGGACCCTTACTTCACATACCATATTTCAAAGCAATCCATTAAGAAATACATGAGATATAAAATCTATAAGTTTCATTAAAGTTCTTCCCTTTTTTTTGTTATTTGCACTGAATTTACAGAAGTTTTATTTGATAGAAAAACATACTTTTTGGATTTTTTTTTTTAATTTGTACACTGATAGATCTTTACAACCTAGTTGTGTGTCATATTGGGTCTGTGTTGAAGGCACATGTGCAGAATTATTCAACACAAACTGCTCAATTTTTACAAAAATATATGTACATGCCTATATAAAAAGTCTTATGAGCTATCAGTTTGAAATTTTTACCACAGACTCACATAAGAGTAAAAGAGGACCATTTTTAGTTTTTGTCATTCGGATTAAAGACAACTGATTTAAAGCAGCAAAACTATAAGGCTAAAGAACGTGCAGATACATAAGTGTTGGTTAGGCTAAGCAAACTAAAGTAGCAGTTTCTAGCTTAAGTTTTCAAAACAATCATGTGGGTGGACACTTATTATTCATCATTCATTGCCAATTTACAGCACAAATTTGGCTAAATTTTACAAAATTCTCCTGATTAATAAGTGTTTAGCATCACATGATATTAGCTTAAGCAATTAGCATAAATAATGATGCATGATATAGCTGTACCAAGTGCATGTGGGTTTTGACAAGAAACTGTTAATATAATTTCCATGACTTTACTATAAAAGAAGTTATTAGCACTGTTTTAGAGAGGAAAAACTACCACCATATATTTTAAAGAATTGAACATGAGACTTAAAGGAATGAAATCAAAATTGGCAACCAAACTGGTAGCTACACTTGTAGCATTGATAATGATAAGAATCTATAACAAATATTCATTTCTTAGTTAGCTAGGCTGCATATTTTGTTTTATCCACCATCATGCACCAAGTTGAACAAAAAATGTAGCCTGGCTAACAAATGAATGGATATTTATTGTAAAATTTTTATCAAAGCACTAAGTGTAGCTACCAGTTTGGCCACTAATTTTGATTGCATTCGTTTAAGTCACACGCTCAATCTTTTTTCGGCCATACCTTTTTTTCACACCTAAGGTGTTTTTGATTACATTGTATTGTTGGAATTGAAATCACCTTTGCAATCATCTCTTTACTTTTCTTTATCTTATGTTATTTTTTTCTCATTATTAATTGTTTAGATACGGGTGTAAGATAGGCCAGATAACCCTATGTGTAGAGTTATTAAATAATGTATTACTGCTTAGCTACACATTATGTTTGTCCTTATGTTTCAGAAGAAGAAGAAGATTTTAGAGCCAACATTTAAGAAACCAGAAGGAATGCATAGGGAGCTGTATGCACTTTTATACTATGACAATAAGTAAGTATAGACATTTTTGCTCATGTTTGATAATAAACATATATATTATTTGAGTTTAATAATAAATATACATATGTAACTATATGCGTATTATTTTTATTATGGTAAGTAGGTACACTGTATATGCATCTACCTGTTCCAGGGTTTGAAAATATTTTATTTTCTCACTTGTCCACAGTGCAAATTTATTGTAGAATTTGTTACATGAAATGTTGTTTCGTCCTAGTGCAAACTAATTTTATCTCTATACCACATGTCAATAAAAACATGCATATACACCAGTGTCCAACTAGAATGTTTCAACTTGTTTTGAAAAACCTATTAACTACCTTATGGCCAGTTAGTATTCTAAAATTTCTACTGTAATTTACTCTTATGCATTTCTTAAACAAAAGTGACTAAAATATAAGTGAGAAACTCATTGGTTAGAAAAAAAAGAATGAAAAGAGAATAAAATAAAATTTCACATCATCAGTTCAATCTAACTGTGTCACATGATTGTAACTCAATCAGTTGTTTGTGCGAAGTTCTTTTGTTTTGATTAATTGCCTGTCACATACTTATATTTGGTCTAAAGGACAAAATAAAGCAAAGAAATTTGTAAAACGACTAGAAACCTTAGGATCTTTGACAAGTAATTATAATTGCATTTTACAATATGCATTCATTCTAAAAAAAACTTTTTCTTCTAGAAATTGATGAATTCACCACAGTTAGTGTTATGGTATGCAAAGTAAGAAATAAAATATAAAGTTTCATAGAAAAAGTTTTAATATTCATTTAGGGGATCCTATAAATAAATTAACTCTTTCAGCAGGTGCTCAGTCTCTGCGACCAACCCTTTTAATCATTTTGTGCTTGTTATAGTTTTCATGCTATAGCTCTTAAATTAGTAAGCGAATGTTAACAAAATTTGGTACATTATCAGTAACGATTACAAGGGTTTCATACGCAAAATATTAAGTTTTTTAAAGCAATATTTTTCTCGTGCCTTTTTTTTTTTCGCATGTTGCCTATCTTAACATGCAAAGTAATTTTCATGTTAAGATTAAAAATACTTTTATGCATCAGAAAATTTTCGTATTTCAAATGCGAAACCTTTATGATGTTCAGACAGTTATCAAATGTGTCTTAAGAAAAAATTTTTTATCTGTTATTTTCAGTAATGAATCTGTATGGGTTCAGTAGTATTTGACTGATCTTGTAACCATTAACTTAAAAAATTAGGAAATTAAATAATAAA